GGTAACGGAGCGCATAAATGCTGCACACCGTCACATGAACACAATGAAAATTAGACATGGAAAAAATGAGCTTTGACTCTTCAGGCATGGTCTCTAATTGACAGATAGATAGACAGAAAGACATATTATTACATATTATCATGATTGTCTCTTTCCTCCATCCAATTCTAGATGGTCCGAGTGCATCTTCTCGAGCCACCGGCGGGACGTCCCTCACTATTCCCCCGCTGGACCCCAGTCTGCACGTTCCCCTCCATCAGTTCACTTGGCTGCTCCGTGTGCTCGATCAAGGCACCGTGGAGCTCACGTCCCCTGACAAAAACCTGCAACAGTCTGTCCCAGACAAGGAGTGTAACGAGAGAGTCTCTCTGCTGATCTCCGAGACTGACGGCTCCAACATCGGCCAGTTCTGCTCTTCGGCTGAAGGCACCATCAAAAAAATCCAAATCAAAGGGAACGTTTCCATTAGTGTAACTCCAAAAACAATACAAGACCTGAGCCAGGAGAAAGGATCTTTCTTTAATTTCGCCATGAGTCCAGAGATCAATGGCAAGTATAAAGTTTGGAATAACTCCTACCTTTAATGTTTTTCAAAGACTGCTGCATTTATTTGATCAAAACCCTGTAAAACTATTGTTGAGTCTCATTGCATTGTCTTCCTGCTTCATTCACAGAGAATGTAATCTACACCGTATCCCCATTGGTTTCGGGATCCATGTACCTTGCGACGCCCAAGTGGCCCGATGGCATGAGCCCTTCTTCGTTCATCTCGTGGATCGTCAGCGTTCCTCAAGAGCACAAGGCCGAGTTGCAATTCACCAACGTCAGCCAGCCCGTATGCGACTCGGGCCACACATTGGTCTCGGTCAGAACGCTGGACCCACGCGGCCAAACGCTGTCCTGGAGAGAACATCAGAGTTTCGACAACACCGTCGTCCAACAGCAGAGCTTCTACCTGAACATGTCCAACTGCAATCCCAAGAGTGGACGCTTCGCTGTGCTCTCGAAGGTCACTCTGCACAAGGAAACCAGTGAGCAGAACGCTTTCATTTCTGGGTTGAGCAGGGGTGTAGAATTTAGTAATGAGGGACTCTAGGGACGTGTCCCTACCAATATCCAGTGACACCGATATATCACTAGCAATAATTTCGATCAAAACTTAAACTCACTTCAGGCTGGTACAGAGATCCTTCCTCAAGTGGAGGAGTTTAGGTATCTTGGGGTTTTGTTCACGAGTGAGGGAAGGATGAAACGGGGGATTGACAGACGGATCGGTGCAGCTTCTGCAGTAATGCGGTCGATGTACCGGTCTGTCGTGGTGAAGAAGGAGCTGAGCCGAAAGGCAAAGCTCTCGATATACCGGTCAATCTACGTTCCTACTCTCACCTATGGTCATGAGCCTTGGGTCATGACTGAAAGGACAAGATCCCGGATACAGGCGGCCGAAATTAGCTTTCTCCACAGGGTGGCTGGGCGATCCCTTAGAGATAGGGTGAAAAGCTTGGTCACTCGGGAGGAGCTCAGAGTAGAGAGGGGGGTCAGCTGAGGTGGCTCGAGCATCTGTTTCGGATGCCTCCTGGACGCCTCCCCGGGGAGCTGTTCCGGGCACGTCCCACTGGGAAGAGACCCCGGGGAAGACCTAGGACACGCTGGAGAGACTATGTCTCCCGGCTGGCCTGGGAACGCCTCTGCATCCCACCGGAAGAGCTATAGGAAGTGTCTAGGGAGAGGGAAGTCTGGGCATCTCTTCTTAGACTGCTGCCCCCGCTACCCGGCCCCGGATAAGCGGAAGAAGATGGATGGATGGATGGACTTAACCTATATTTATATATTGATGTCTCCGTCCCCACCAATTTCAAAATCAAACCTACGCCGCTGGGGATTAGGTCTTTGCACACTGAGTTAGGGTTGGGGTAACCCTAACCCTAACCTAACCACACTGAGATGGCTCTGAATGGACTGAACTCTGAACGGATGCAAAATATACTTAGAAAATCGAACCTGATTCGATTTTTTTATGATAGACGAAAGTTGCAGTGTGTAAATGTGATTGGCACAACGTGAGGTCGTATTTATTTTAAAATTTTGTACTCAATTTCGGACAAACGTGCAAGGACATTTTGTCTTCATTTGAATGGATTTGTGCATTGATCACTCTATACTTGGTGTTGTTGTTCGAAGTATTGCAATGGAGGATAATCAGATTGCTTTTTTCGTCCTCATACAGAGAACTTCCTGAGCATTATCTTGGCCGTAGTCGGGGTTCTGCTTTTGCTGCTAGTCATTACACTTATAGTTGTGTGCGTCATTCGAAAGTGAGTCTGAATTTTCTTCTGTATTGTCTTATGAACTTGAAAATACAATACGTTTTCAAACAATTTTCTTCTCTTTCAGAAGGAAAAACAAACCTAAGACCAATAGGTCCTCCATCTTTTTGCCCAGAGGGAAACCATTCCTTCCAGGTAACGCCACCTTCCCAAAATCCAGAGCAGACAATGAGTCCCACGTCTACGCCACCATTGATGACCCAACAGTGTACGGGCATTTAGCGCACAAGAACCAGCCTTCAGAGGTCGACAACGGAGCCTGGAGCAACGGGCATCAGGTGGACACGTACCGTCCGTTCACGGGACCCTCGGACTCATTCCCGTCGGCTAAGGATTCGTCCACTGAATATTCGATAGAAGGCAGAGCCGGAGATGGAGATGCATATCAGCCTTTCCTAAAGCCGCCCAACACCTTTAATCTCCAGAGGCCTCATTCGCCACTGGTATCACAGGGAAGCTTAGGATTCGAAGATCGTAGGATGATGCATAACGAGCTGCACACTTTCAAGAGTTTCGGGGATATAAATCCCATTCGCCTGTCTGCCGACGAATCCAGACTACAACCACAAGTGGAATCGGACACTGATTCCAATACTGAGCCAGAATACGAGGAGGCGATTTGAGGATATTGCGGATGCGGAGTGGATTCATATGATGATTCGACTGTTAACGAACCGCTAAAATTTTATTGGGGGAGCAGAAAAGCCATTTGCTACAAGCCAAGAATGCGCACACAAAGACAATGTTGTTGAGTAAAATTGATGCTAAAAGGCTACGCACTGTTTTGCCGCCCTAGTGGCCACAGGTGTGTTTTGCATGTATAGTTATTAAAAGTTTGGTTTTAAAGATTTTTTTATGGCCTTTTAGCCTGAATGTACAGAATTAAGCCGTTTGAGAGTTTAATCCCTTCGTTGGAAGTGTGCCAAGTTTCTCTATTGGATAATTGTTTTGTTTTAACAGTGATTTATTGTCTCCAGGCTACAGGTTTCATACGTGTTTTCTGTTTTCAATTCTGTATATTTACGTTGTGCATTTCTAAAATAAATCTCAGATATTTTAATAGATGTTCCTCTATAATGTATATAAAGAGTGAAGATAACCACACACAGACCAGATTAAGAAATTTTTTTATATTTCCCACAATGAATTTGGGGAAAAATCAGCAAAACAAGTAACATATTACAAGTAAAAGGTAATATGCATTTTACATGGAAAAATTATGGAAGCACCATTTTAAAAATTCTGTCTGATATTGATTAATAATTATTTTCATATCATGCCCAGCAACTGATAAATGGCTGATATTAGCTTTGCTGTTTTCTTAATAAATACAAGTAAATGTAGGCATTTAGAGAAAAAATTATATTTATTTAATTAACTCTTACATTTAACACTGTTTATGCCTGTGAGTGAGTGTTGTTAGATGATGCAAGGCAATCTAAATGTAAAAATTGGCAGAAAATATTTAAAGGGGTGGTTCGGAATTTTGGGTCTCGATCATTTCCAAGTGAGCCTTCAGTGTTATTTAGCAGTGCAGACAGTTTTTAAAAAATTTCATCCAGTCGTTCGAGTTGCATAGTTTGCCGATGCTAGGTTAACGCGAGTCAACGGTAACTTTTAGCATGCAATTAAAACGGTTTTACCCACTCCACAGTACACAAGCAAATACATTATAACGCCTGACTATCGATGTAAGTGTCTTGAGAGAATAATGTTAGAAATCAAACTATTCTTTCATTGCATTGCAATAGTTATATTGTTTACATATATTTATTAGCACAGTCTACAGCAGCGGCGAAGTGATATGAAGTTACCTAGGCAACCGAGAGAGTCGGCCACATGACAATCACGCAAATGTATTTACCATAGCTATTTACCTGCCGCTTACACTCATGTAGACGAACACTGACACCCTGTGGTGAAATAATGGCGTATTTTTAACAGCCGCAGCTTTCTCGTATTGGCTTGGTTTGGATTTAAACTTAAAGTCCCCGTGAACCGGAAGTTGCAAACGATTTTTCTCCCGTGCTGTGACGTATTTCCAAGTGAAACGGAATATTGAACAGAGGGCAGGGTTTTACTCTAGCGCTCCTCCTCTCCATCTCTCGCTCATAGCAAACTAACGGTTTGAGGGGAGTGGTTAAGCGTTTCCCCACCCAAACTGTGAAACCTACGTCATCAACCGTTCCAGACCGGAAGTAACTTTTCAGATTTTGATTAAAGATTACCAAGGTAAAACATTTTTTTAATATATATTTACTTGCACGGATTAATTGTTCACCACAAGACTAGTAATATGCGCTAACGAAGTAAATAGGTTCAATTTTGATTTCACGGGGACTTTAATGTTCCGATGAGTTTTGAAAATTCTGCACACGGTAAACATCAGAATATCCCTTCTTCTGTCAATAAAAATGTCCAAAATATAAAATCGTATTACAGACACTCATTTTAGGTGGTGTTAGTTCAACTCATTGACCGCAGTACAATTGAAAGTAAACGTAACCGGAAATAAGTGATTCAAACGGAAGTGCGTCGCGAAGCTCAGTGTAAGTAGCACTCTACAAAATGCATTGAACTGTTGTATTCTCCAATAACGTTGTCAGTGTGTTATGAACATGGTTATGAAAGGGCTAGCTTCATTAGATAGAGTAGCCTAACAAAATATATTACCTGTACATCTGTAGCTGTTGGTGCATCTGGAAAGACGGCTGGACTGCATTCCTTGTCATAAACCTGTGACCGTTTCGATGAAATGGTTTTCTAAAGTCGTCTGGTTTAAAATGGTCACTGCAAATCCTCAATTTTTTAGAGTCCCTGCCGGTGTCTCCTTGTCCAAGCCCGCAGAAATAATCAAAAGTTGCTAGCTAGCTAGACGTCCTGTCTGTCATGCGCTTCTGCTCTGTGTTTACGTTTTGACGCAGTATCGTTACTACTAAACGGAGTGAAGTATAATTCCGCCGCTGCTGAGAAACTAGTTCCTGAAAATGTAATGTAATCATTGAGATGAAAAGGATAGTTTGATTTCTAACATTATTCTCTACACAGACACTTACATTGATAGTCTGGCGTTATAATCGATTTGCTTTTGGTGTCAGGGCCTGAAATTAACACCCGACCACCTGCCAAATGCGGGTGAATTTTCCTATTGGCGGGTAACACTGTCAATCTACCTGCCACATTGGCAGGTAGCCAATGAGAATTGAGTGATTCATTAGGATTTTTACATTTCAACTAAGTCCGCCATTGCGTTTGACTTTAGCTAAAATGTGGCGGCACATTACTGGGGTAAAGAAGCCAGCTGAAACAAACAACCAACAAAAAGATGAGGATGAGAAAAAGAAAAGTAAAGGAAGACATTTCAATACAAAGTGGACAATTGGCGGCAATGGCAAGGTTCGTGAGCGGCTGATTTATGACCGCGACTGTTGTTTCGGAACGTTCATGCGATCAGAAGAAGACGATCGAGGCCCTTTTCCGACTACGTTTGGATGTGCAAGTATTAAACTGTTGGTGAGATGGGATGAGATAATGTAACGCTGACGTAGCCTACGTACAATGACAGTTGCACAGATGTGTGTGCATGTGCAAATGTGCATGTTGGGAGTTGGGAACCAGTGAGAAAATGTCCAGTACCTTTACCAGTAATAACAATATTAATTTAGTTCATAGTTAACAGTTCCTGAACGCTGTAACTAAAAGCTGTCAGGATCTGTCTACGTGACTAAATCAGCCATCAACCCAGCCGCGTGTGATTTGTTTACATACGATCTGTGGTAGGTCTATCTGTTGAGTATATACTATATAGCCTATACTATATACTGTATATGTTGTGTGAGTGACAAAATCAATGAATAAAAAGATTTTAAAAAAATGTATGTTCTTAGAGATATTATTATTACTTGACAGCACTTAAATGTGTATTCTTACAAGTGAAAGAACAATGTTGTGAAATTCACGTTTTTTTTCACCTTTATATAAACGTGAAAAACAAAAAACAAAAACAGGAATTTCACAATATTGTTCTTTTTTTACCATTTTTTGGCTAATGCAAAATATGAGGCAAAAAAAAAAGTGGCTGGTAAAAAGTCTCTGTGGCAGGTGAATTTTTAAATCCACCTGCCACAAGTGGCCGGTGGCCGAAAAAGTTAATTTCAGGCCCTGTTTGGTGTACTGTGGAGTGGGGAAAACTGTTTTAATGACATGCTAAAAGTTACCGTTGACTCGCGTTAGCCTAGCACGGCTCACTTGGAAATGAGGCCCAATGTCCAAAATTCCGAACCAACCCTTTAATATCGATTGATAACACAAACGAAAAATCTGTAATATCAGCCAGTGACCTATATTGTGTACTACCACTTAATAGGTGAATGCATAATAAAAGCAGCCAAAATATTTAATAAATTATGGACATTTCTGCAGAACTTTACATGGGCCTGTTTTACACCAAATGTGTGAAATATCATACACACTCATATTTGATAAACGTTTTATTGAGATAAAAGGATATGTTCAGGTTATATCAGGCTAGACATTAGTTTGTTAGACAATAAACAAGTAACAAAGCTAGCTATCTGAAATAATCATCGTTCTGCTGGGTTTTTTTAACCGGTTGGCTTGACTTCTTACTAAAAGATTTAGGCTTCAATAATGTTTGTTTAGTTAGTGTGTGTTTTTGGCTGGATTTTAACGGACTGTCCAAAAATGTCTTTTATTACAGTGTTGTGTTCAATCTTTGATTATAGATTTTGTGTCTGAGCATTTTTATGGCTAAAATTACAATCTTTGCTCTCCTCAAGATAAAAAAATAAAGCCTACAATTACGGAGCTGACACAATGCAAGCAGGATTGTGCAACGGAAAGGACAGCTAGGTCAGGGGAATCGCCACGCTGGATGATCTCAGACGATGTTGAACTCGCAGACGGAGGCCCGCTCCTCTCGACACCGCTCGTCGAGCCACTTCTCGCCGGAGAGAACGGCGCAGTTCTCCGCCAGGCCGCCGTCAGGCTGCGGGAGCTTCCAGTTCTGGTAGCGGATGTTTGAGCCGGTCTGGTCCATCCACACGCCCTCTATTTGCATGTCGTTTACACCCAGCCAGATCACAGCGTCTGGCCCGATGCTCTGGCGCACATAATCGTGGAGAAGCTTGTTTTCGTCGGAAGACACCGGAGTGCTGAGGATTCCTCCCTTGGCGATGCAGTCTTCATTGGCCGTGTGGTAGCGCTTCTTCACGGTGTCCACCAGAAAACACTTGCCGGGGATCTTTATGCCTCGCAGGCAGACTAGTGGAGAATAAAGAAACATTGTTTGCAATCTTTAAATGACTCATAATGTAAAAAAAGTGTGTTGTCCTTTTAAAATAAAAAAAGTGTTAAAACCCAGGACATTTTGAGCTCATTAACATACACGACTGGCCATTTAGATTTAACACCCCTCCCTTACTGATACACAGGTGTGAGACATGTCCACATGCACAGGTCAGCCAATCACAACAGAGGTCATTAACATTACTGTCATTCCCGGTAGGAAGTGCATTCTGGGAGTTGTTGTCTTTCATCCACATGAGCCAAAAATACATTTTCTGGTTTTTCTCAGTCTAGAAAGCTCAAAATTCAAAAAATAATTTCACCAATTCTTCTACATAAATGACCCATTTTAAATACACATTCATCTTTCCAGAGGCGAAGTATCCCTTTAATAGTAAGGGAGCAAGGGTGAGTGGGAAACGATCATCTAAAATTAAATTATGACTGACTTTGCTGCAGGAAACCTTTATTTATATAAAATGATACAAAAATGCAAAATATGGCCTTAAAACGGTTCAACTGTTCCAATTTCAAACTTGCTTTGGCTTGGAATGGCAACTAAGAGTGATTTTTGGCTTTTGTTTTTACATTATTAGCTTATAAATATGACATAATTGTCTGACCATCTCCTCATAGATCAAAGACTGAATTACATCTGACTCTGTTGTCCAGGGAAAACACAAGCTGGAAGAATCATCAAAAGCTGCATGTGGAGGCCATGTGTCTTCTGCAAGTGGACACAGTCTAATCCAAACAATACGCCACAGTCTATGGGACAATGTGTACATATTTTGTTTTTTACAGTTAAACAGACGAGTCAGGCTGGGGTTAGGGTTATATGCTTCAGTAACACAGGTGTGTGTGAGCTCTCACCCGTCTGCAGAGCCTGCTGCTCCTTTACCAGGTTCAGTTCCTGCACGATGTCATTGATCCGCTGCTGTAGTTCCTCCAGAGCGGCGCTGGCTCGAGCATTCGAGTCTGACAGATGAAAAAATCAACAACCATCCACAATCACATGACAGAAATAATAAATGATTTTCAATTATATCGAAAATTTAGCCTTTTTTTGTGTTACAGGTAAGAGAATCATTGGATAATGGGAATTACAAAAAAAATTGTAAATAAAAAACAGCAAAATGCATGGATGAATTACAATAATAATTTTTTTTTCTTAATGCAATACATTTAAATCCTTATTGATTATTATATTTTTATTTAATAAATTATTTTACAGAGAGCACATCTTAGGAAGATTCAAATGAAAAATCACGAACCAATATCACCACAAATTCACACGAAAAACAAATTATAGAATCATGCATGTGAATTACAAAAAATAAAAAGTAAAATGCATCGATCCATTTCTTTTCTTAGTATTTTAATAAATTTATTTTATTTTTGTATTTATTTATATTAGTATATATTTAATACTAACATTTTAAAAATTAAAAATTAGTTAAAAAATAAAGGTAATTGATTTTTAAACTTTACAATTGTTTTCAAAAGTAAAAGTTACAAAAGTATTCGACTTAAATAAGAAAAATAGTTCATTTAATGATCAGTAACATCCAAATGCATTAAACATATCAATGCTTATTTTCTTAATACAGCAACTCTTCAACATGCAGCTTTCAGCTTCAATAACCAAATGAATAAATGAACTAACGGAAGAGAAAAACTAGCAGAAATCCTCCTGTCTTACCTTTCTTAGCGCTGGGTTTGTTTCTGGAAGTGTTCTGCTGCTGCGAGGTGTGTGTGAGGAGCAGCAGGACTGCGAACAGAAGGAGTCTCATGCTGAAGTCTGGAGAGGAGGACAGATCTCTGCTTCAGTCGCTCACGCTGGAGAACTGCTGTCCTCAACCTGCAGTCGCTCTTCAGCCTGAGAGGAGCGGAGGAGTGACGTCCTCACACACACACACCCATGCGCACACACTCTCACACATAAATTCACATACACACCTCCTGACAAACAAACAAACAAACACACACACACCTCCTGACATACAAACACACACACACACAAAAAACACTCTTACACTCAGATAAATTCACATACACACCTCCTGACAAACACAGACACACACACCACACACATAAATGATCAAACACTTTCTCTCACACACTCACAAATGTATAACACAGTGCTATCTTTGTGGGGACTTTCCACAGGCATAATGATTTTTATAATGTACAAACTGTGTATTCTCTCGCCACACCTGAACACACACATACACACACACACACACACACACACACAACCTTTTGCACTTTTACATTTTCATAAAACATCGATTAATGTGATTTACAGGCTGTTTTCCACACGCCGACCCCACGCGGACAGGGGTTTCTGATATCACCATCTGTGGGGACAGTGTGCTTATATACGCGTGTTGTGAATATATATTTTAAATTAATTAACAATAATAAATAACAGAAACTGCCTGGCCCAGTCTCTCTCCCCAACATGTTTTCTATGATTTATACGGCAGATTATGAAAACTGGATCCACAGTCTAACCTCCACAGATTCTCCGCTTGCTCAAACACACTCAGAGTCCAGGAGTATTGAAGGTCTCATCAGGACACATCTCCCATCATGCACTCTTCTGCTGTGTGAGGCTGTTGTCTGTTTGTTCTGGTTCAGGCCAGAGGAAGAAGAGAAGCGATTATGGGATGGAACAGATCCAGACTCACAGCAGCTGTGCTCAGATCTCTCTCAGACGACACGTGGCAGACACACTGCAGCTCCATACACCTCTGGCAGTCTCTAAAGTCACCATGAAATCAAAATGGACACTTCTTACTTACTTGCATTATATTTATCCGTGTAAATCATTATTTTGATCTTGAATCAGAATCGCTTCCCCTCCCTCTGCATCTCTTCTCTGATGATGTGGGCGGGGCAACCTGTCACTCACATGAGATCCACCAATAGCAAACCACAACCATCCAATCAATTCCCCACAGACAAAATCAAGCCCCGCCCACATTTGTTCTTGTTCAAGAAGCCGTTTCACTTATATATGCGTCACAATAAGGAAGAAAAGACTAATCGCAACTTCCGTTTTCATGCGAACATCTGCAATTAAAGCAAATATCTCCTGCTCTGGGACATAAAAATCAACAACTCACAACAACTTCAAGGACTCTTTTCTACTCATCTGCTAAATTCAGATATTAAAAAGGCTCAAATTGCACTCAATCCACTCAGATTTATAAGGGGAACGAAGAAAGATTTAGTCATCTGTTAAAAGCCCCATTAAAAACGGACCGTCTGAGTTCAGCCGGCTGGAAAAATGAGCAAAACAAAAACAGCAGCGTTATATAACCTCGCATTAGAGGATTCAGTGTTAGCCGAAGCTATGAAGCAAGACATGACGAACGTCATAGGAAACTTAACTCATTTATTTGAAAAACTAACAAACAAAAACTGCTATCCAAGGAATCCCACTTTCTGTCGTTTCTTGCCAAGACTTTCTTCTTTCTGCAGCAGATCCATGAGCGGCGCGTGAAGAGTCTTTCCCACACGCTTCCCGGCCTGCGACACAACACACCGTCACTGTCAATACACAAGCTGTAATCAACAGGTTTATGCGAGTCAAAGATGTGTGAAAGTGCACACAAATAAAAGCTCTAGATGTTAAAGGAGTAGTTCACTATTTTGATAATTTACTCACGCCCATGTCATCCAAGATGTCCATGTCTTTCTTTCTTCAGTCCAAAAGAAATTAAGGTTTTTGATGAAAACATTCCAGGATTTTTCTCCATATAATGGACTTCAATGGGAACCAAAAGGTTCAAGGTCCAAAGGACAGTTTCAGTGCAGCTTCAAAGGGAACGAATCTTTTTTCGAGTCATTTGGTTAATTAAATGAACGAGTTGACTCGAGAAAAGATTCATTCATTTTGATGAACGAGTTTGAACAGGAGAGTCACGAACATTCATCACAGAACAGAGTAAGGCGAGCATTTGAGCTCATAAAACTTTAAAAAATTTAAAGTATAAAAATTTATTTTTGAAATGAGCGATAGTTTCGCTTGATAAGACCCTTATTCATCGTCTGGTGTCGATTAAAGCCCTTTAAAGCTGTGCTGAAACTCTCATTTGGACCTTGAACCGTTTGGTCCCCATTTAAGTCCATTATATGGAGAAAATCCTGGAATGTTTTCATCAAAAACCTTAATTTCTTTTCAACTGAAGAAAGAATGACATGGACATCTTGGATGACATGGGGGTGAGTAAATTATCAGCAAAAGTTTTTTTTAAAGTGAACTACTCCTTGAAAGCACTAGACAGGCTCAGACTGGCCGGTCTCTGACCGTCTGATGGATATTGCACATATAAACAACACGAGCTGGAGGAAACTCTCTAATACACAAACTGCAGCGTGCAGGGGCCAAAGTGACCTAACGAAGTCTACCGTATCAGATATGATACGCTAATAATAAACTCAAGCCATAAAAATGATCCGCATGATAAATACTTTGCTCAGAAACCTGTTGCAGATTTATCTGATTAATTTAATAATTAGTTTTTCATTTTAATAACTTTCTAAAAACGTTTCCCTTCAGCTCGTAGTTCTTGTGTTTTTGCTGTGAAATCTTTACTGATGTTTATAAATTAGACATAAAAATAACTTTTATATTGTATATTGATAGTGAAATGTTGACTTGATTACGCCCAACATTTTTTTTTTCATTTATTTTTTTTATTTTATTTATGGGAGGGGCACTTTGGGGTGAAAAATATATCAAATATGACCCATGAGCCATCAGGCTTTTGATTAACACTTATTTCTATATTGATTAACACTGTATTATGTGTTGACATCCAAAATCAAAACTACAGAGCTATGATTATAAACTAAGCCTTTATTTATCATCTTACTACAACTGATTATTGAAAGATATGAAGGGAAAACTGATATTTATTTGGATTTTAAGATAGTAGTCCCTGTTATAAAGATCTCCTTGATTTAATTTACAAGCATCAGAATTAAAACTTACTTCTGTCCATATAAACATCAGCAAATACAACTGCATATTTTGGCTCAGTTTGGGCCTTGCAATAAAATCCCCTCCATATTCTTACTATATCATACTAAATGAGCCATAAGTCTGACCAATGATGCTTTTAATGACACATATGCAAACTTTTTTGAATGCTTTTGTTGTATATTTTGTCTAAAGGTTCTATTTTAAAAAAATGAAATATTTCGGGCCATTCTGCCATATGTCAGGCTTTGAACAAACTCTTCATTCTGAATAGGAGTAAAAGTGATTAATTCGTAAAAACCACTAATTATAAGATCACAAAAGTTTAAAACTGCTGTGGGGAAAGAAATAACCTGACCTCGGTCATCTCAAAGATGCTCTCCGGGTCCAGACTTCCTCTTCCCAGCTTCCTGACGCATGTGACCATTCCTTTGTGTGTGACTGAGATCAGGAGACTGGCCACAGAACAGGCCTTTTCCTGCAGTGTGGCGTCCACCACGTGTCTGTGACCGATCTGAAGGGCACACACACACATACCATAAAAAGGTAACCAAAGCCTGGCCACTCCCTATTGAGTCCTATTGGACCAAATTTTGGTTGTAGTTCCATCAGAGTTCCACTGGGGGGCGATCGTCTGAGTGCAAAATGAATGGGAGTCTATGGGGCTAAACAGATAAATTTGCCTTTCACCCGATTGCCGTTGAGAAATCTCAAATTTGATTTTAGGTTTTACAGCATGGGTTATAGGTCAAAAGTTGAATGAACGAGTACTTGTATCTTTCCGATTTCTTACAGGTTGAGTTGTTGTTGCCCATAACATGCTAGCATTCTGCTAATGGTCACTGATTGGTCAGTGAAGGACTGATTACGACCAGAGACGCCACTTAAAAGCATCCGGACCAGAATGTTAAGGCGTTCTTAACTCTTCTAGCACATGTATTTATGTGTCAGCTGTGTTGTCGATGCCTCGAGAGCAAGGAAAGTGCAGAGCGCAAAAACACCACAGTGACTGAAGGATTGCTGTAAAGCAGGTCTCTGGTGGTCGTAAGATGTCACTGACATTTTAAAAGACTTTTTAAAGTTATGTGTAATTTCTTTGCATCTCCTTTCGAAAACAACATTCAAATTACTAGACAAAAAATTCTATTCTGAGAAAAGTGGATTTTGAGGGGGATTGCTCCATTGATTCTGCACTCGTCCTGTGAGCGCCCTCATGTGGATCCAGAGTGGAACTGCAACCAGTTCAGAGCCTGAAGTTTACTGAGAGGGGGAGTTCTCCCCATATTACACATTCTCTGACTGTATATGACACGAGGAGAGTGGTGCATTGTGGTAGGCTTGCCGCGATAGACGGTGTTGACGGTGTTACCGGTTTTAAGCCCCATCACCGGTGACATCACTTTCCCACCGTGACACCGCGATGTCTTGACTTTTTTTTTTTAAAGTATTCGTTTTTGCTAAAATATTTATTTGAATTAATTAAAAATAATAATTTTCAATTATTTAGTTCTGAAGAGAGCATTATAATTAAAAATGAACTGCGCAACGCGTGCCGTCACGTCACAGATCAGCAAGCATCAGGATTCCATTTAGCACGTGTGGAGACGAGAACAAGTCAAATTACAGAAAAGCAAGATAATGGCGGAAGATTTGGTGTCAAAACGCAATGCAAAAGCGCCTGTTTGGCAATATTTTGGCCAATATATATTAATGTTAATAAATGCCAATTTATAGTGTTTTACTTTTTTTTAGAGTGCTGTCATTTATGTAGGCTAAGGTCCTTTTTAAAGTTTTTATTTTATATTCGTCTCTTTTTATTTGGTTTTATCTTATTTAAACTTTGTTTAATTTATTTAGCCTAGGCCTATTTTGTTTTCTTATTCGTTAATAAACGTTTTATTTTTTGGGGGCCCACAGTTTGCCGATTTTCACTTTTTTCAGCCTATATGCATGGGGTTATTTTTATTCGTTCGTTATGCTAATAAAAGTTCTGTCTATATTTTATTCGTTTATTATTCTAATAAAAGTGCTGTCTAAATAAAAGTTTATTGTCAGCGAGTTGTTTTTTTTTTTTTTTTTTTTTTGTCCATTCCAGCAATTGACGCTGAATTGCAATTGACGCTTATTTCGAAAGTGAAAGTATGTCATTTATGTAGGCTAAGGTCCGTTTTGAAGTTTTTATTTTATATTCGTCTCTTTTTAATTGGTTTTATCTCATTTAAACTTTGTGTAATTTATTTAGGCCTATTTTATTTTCTTATTCGTTAATAAACGTTTTATGGTTCTTATTTGTTTGGGCCCACATTTTGCCGATTTTCACTTTTTTCAGCCTATGCATGGGGTTATTTTTATTCGTTCGTTATGCTAATAAAAGTCTATAAATAAAAGTTTTATTATCAGCGAGTTTTTTTTTTTTTGTCTATTCAAGCAATTGACGCTTATTTCGAAAGTGAAAGTATAACGCGCACGCATTTAAAAGCTATTTAACCCCCCCCCGCCCTGCCCTCCACGGTGACACCGGGATTACCGGTGTTGTCACACGTCGATTAACCGGTGGGAAATTTTCCTCACCGCGGCAACCCTACATTGTGGGTAATGGCCCAGGCTCTGCTGTACCTTGCACAGGGTTACGATACACGGCACATTCTCCACATTGATCCGGATGCAATCGAAGGGGTCGTCCGAGAGCTCGATCTCCTTCCCGCCCTCCTCATCCTCAGATATGTGCACTCTGGGAATCCTGTTTCGGGAAAGGGATGTGCTTACATTTCTCATCACTTCATTAAGTCACCATTCTGAATGTTTATGATTAATGCATAAAAACGTTTTTTACAGTTGAATACATTAATCCTTGGAATTTATAATTTATAATTTTTAATGGTTAAACATTTTTGTGCAAATATTTTTATAAAATAAATAATATTCAGAAATATACTAATTATGGCGTATGGGAGAACTGCTTAAATATTGTAGAATATAATACAAAAAATATACAAATTTACTAAAAAAAAGTTTGCTATTGTTACTGTTAACAAAAAAAATGTGTTTAAACAAAAAGTATTTTTAGCGTTAAAATAATAAAATGTAAATATTAGATGAAAAACTTGATATGGCAACCAACCTAAATAAGTTGAAGTACTAAAATTGCTGAAACTGAAATAATAATTATGCTAAATACAAATTAAAAAAATATATATAATTAAAACAAATTAAAATAAGATATCATAATAAGTATAGCAACAACAACAACAACAAAATCTGACTTTAAAATGACTTTACAGGCCTATTGTTTTGCTATCGTCACCAAAACAATTGTTAAATTAAATAAAGCTGAAATAAAATTAAATATAAATATTATTATTACAAATTTTGCCTTGGCAAACAACTGAAATAAATTTAAGTATTAAAATAACTATAACAAATAAAAAAATGTAAAACTAATAAAATTATTAAAAATCGCATAAAATTACTAAACAAACAAAAATTTAAATGACGACTGAAAATGTACAAATAAATAAGAACATATTATATTAGTATATAAATAATACTAAAATAGCACACTGCCAGTTGTAACATTTCCCCAATGAAACCTTCCAGTTTTGATGGGAACAGACACACAGTGACTCACCGTGTGTTAAACAGAGCGGCTTTGATTGCGATGGATATGGCGTCAAACAGGTTTCCGTCACACTGCAGCAGCTGTGGAGACAGTCATGCATTAACTGAGGAATAAACAGCAGCATATACGTCTCGATATAAAGTGATCCACTCACCAGCACGTCCACGTACAGCACCCAGCAGTTCTCCCCCGGCAGGATGCAGAGCGAGCGCAGGTCCACGCTGTGCCTGTTGTTGAACACTTTATAGAGGACGTTACTGAGCTCCACCCCTAGCTCCTCCCCCCCACGCCCCTCAAACTCAGGTGTGGCGTTTGCTGAGCTGCAAGAGAAACGGCAGGCATCAGGTATTGTCTAATTACCATGCAGATCATGGACCTTTAAAACGCATCATCTATGGATATTCACTGCTAATTTGCATATTTCTACACTGAAGCACCTGCACTGCTCAATCATGTACTGTACGTACCTCTACACATGTCTAATAAACTGCAGAGTATACGGTCTTATTAATTGTGCTACATCTCATTCATTAATCCTTGTAATTTTCTGTTTGAATAGTTACATTTTTTAATAGAAATAAACATATTTAAAACAAAAATGTACTAAATATGGCTCATGGGAGAACTTTGGAAGCTTGTTTCCGCCACAGAATTAAAAATAAAAAAGGTAATTGCGAATTTTTATCTTATAGTTTTTCTTCTCAAAATTGTGTAACATAAACTCGCATTTTTTTTTTTTTTTTTTTTTTTTTTTAGAGCTGTGAGATCAAAAGTTGCAATTATCATTCAAATTGTTTCACTCCATGGTGGAAAAAAAGCTTCTATAGAGAAATGCTTAAACAGAACTAACTTAGTTTTCAAAAATTGTAGAGTTATAACTAAAAATATATATTCACTAAAGAAATTTCCATGACTTTTCCAGACCTGCAAAAGTGTTGTAATTGTTGACTAATAATAATAAAAAAATATTTTAAAAAAAGTATTCATTGAAATAAAGCCGAAATAAAATAAAATCCCAAATATTAAAAAATATATATATATATTTAAATGTTTTACACATAAAATAACTTTACAATTAATTACTAAATCTGAAACAATAAATCAAACCCAAATAGAAATATAAAAAACTGAAAAAAAAAAACTATTAAAATGTAAAACTAAAATAAAAACAATAAAAGAAAACATTTTATATTAAGTGTTATATAATAGATTTATTTACAAAATCATTTGATTTATATGAACAACTCTATTAATAAGTACTACAAAAGCATATAAATAATAATTAAAAAAAATACAGCTCCCACTATTCATGTAAACCTACACACCTGCATTATGTACTTCATGTTTTATTCTTCTTAATGATTTGTAATGATTTTTTTTTTAAATCTTGGAGGAGCTGGTGGTGATTTCCAGTGTTTGCTTGATGTGTTCATCTTTAAACTCTCACCAGTCCACAAAGAACTCCAGATAACCTTCGTCTGGTACCATGGCTCTAGGTTTACCAATCTCTGCCTTCACTCCTACGAGAACATCAGTGTGACCCTGTCAAACACACACAAACACTGCTGGTGACAGGTATCACACAAAAATGTTATTATAAGAAACTGTTTAATTCAGCTTACAAGACTGATTTTAGCAGAACCATCAGTGTTTGACACCACATCCGTCTCGATCTCCATGTGTCTGTAGTCTTCACATCTCCGTCCGTCCAATCTCAGGTCATCCTGTCAACAATAGTCTCAGTTTAACCCTCATGTTCAGCTTAATGCTTCATTATGTCTCCAAATCTCATTAGAACTTATTATACACTTCATTTCAGGTGGATAACACACTTCAAACATCTCCCATGACAAATGTAAGTGTTTTGAGGTTTCAGATGTTGTAAGTTAGTGGTACACTCTCTTTATTTACCTTTGCTTTATTGTTGTAAACATTTAGATTTAAGAGCAGTCAGATGGGGTTGTTTATGGCAGTGACACATTTAAAGAAGGAAAAAATAGAAAATAAACTTAAATCTAAAACCACAAATGGTCAATCTCAACATAGCATGAGTAAAAACCCCAGAATACGTGTTAACTGTTAAGAAGCTTTTTTCATATGTCCTATTAATTGAAAGTTAAATAAATGCACATTATATTTTCAATCGTGAGATTTGACTTACTCTAACTCCATGCATAAGATAAACCTTCTCCGCTTCGCTCACTTGCACTGCTGCCATGTTTCAAACATACGCAGTATGTTGTGCGTCATCACAAAGCGCGAGGAGCGGCCAGCGAAGGCGGAGCCTGGCGTTAACCGACCAATCATGTGCCAGTCCGGGGAAAAAATGTGCGTAATGTGTAATCTGATTGGATCAGGAGTGTGTCAATTCCTTCAGCAGGAACTCCATTCAACGCACATGTTTTCTGTATTTCGCCAATGTGGTATGTATATTCTATTTGAACAAATTTAAACAAAATAATTAATTTTATATCACACTTTTTCTGCGTTCTATACAGTTGTGGATCTATGATAAGTCAGATTTTAGTTTTCGCTTGTTCAGTATACTGTAAACATGGCGATCGGTTTGTTATGATTATTATTTTGCACTTTTTTGATGCTACACAATCATAATAAACTTTGACTACTTATAAAACGTGTAATGTATGTGTAGTGTACTATCATGGTACAGTGATAGTTAATGCAATAGCTTTTTGATGTATATACCAAGACTGGAATTTTCAGTCTTTATGCCAATTGTTATTTTAAGCTGTCTGATATTATTATTATTATTGTTAATATAAAGATAGTTCTTGAACTATTAGTGTTTACTTTTGCAGGTTGAATAAAACTTATTATTGTTAATAATACTGTGAAACCAATAAAAATAGTTATTGTTTATTGAAATAAAGGTGATATTTTAGAAAGATTTAACTTTTACATTTTATCTTTTAAATTATTGATTTTAATATTTTTATTCTGTGATTTTATTAGTATTATTAAGCTAGTGTTTAAACTGTCTGTGTTTTCTTTTGAGGTTTGACTAAAAGGAAAAAATCAGGATTAAACTCTTGAGTCTGTCCCAAGATGCTTAGTGATGGAGAAGCTACAGAACTGCTGTCTTTTCTCACTCTGGAGACCAGAGCTGATCTCAAAGGTCGGGCCTCAGAATACGTCCTGGGCCTCACGGGAAACCGGGACGGGTGCCGGTACCTGCAGTCCAAATCAGACTTCCTCCAAGCCCTGGTGACTCTAACCAGCGACCCCTCCATCGCCATCGTCAAGGACTGTTTTCATGCCCTGATTAACCTCTCAGCGGACGAGACTCTTCACCAGCCTTTGGTCACAGAGACGGTCTTACTGGCCAAACTGCTGCCGAAACTACTGGACCCGGAGTACGTGTTTGCTGATCGGATCTGCACCATCCTCAGTAACCTGAGCCGACACGAGCGGACGTGCAGAGACGTGTTCAGGGCTCTGCAGGAGCAGGACATCGGACTGGACAGACTGGTGGAAGTCTTCTGCAACCAGGACTTCAATAAGAACGCTTCACTCCACTATCTCGGACCCCTGCTGTCGAACCTCACGCAGCTGCCCGAGGCACGGCTCTTCATTCTGGACAGGGACAGGTACACAATGACAATCATTACATATCATATAACCAAAACCATGGTATTATTATAGTATATGCGTCAAACAAACAAGTTACAATGGTACATTTCCAAAAACATGGTGTTATCATGGTACAGGTAAAGGAAATCTATAATTCTGTGAAACATTGTTCAAAAACATAGTATTATCATGTTGGGTTTATAAAATATACATGATATTACCACAGTACATGTTCAAAAACATGTTATTATCATGGTAGGAGTAAAAATACATGATATTACCATGATAGTACATGTTAAAAAACTTGGTATTATCATGGTAGGAGTAAAAATATAATATTCCATTACCATGGTACATTCAAGAACATGGTATTATGATGGTAGGAGTAAAATGGTGGAAGTAAAAAAACATGATATTACCATTTTACATTCAAACACTTGGTATTACCTACCCTGGTAGGAATAAATATATATGATATTACCATAGTACATGTTCAAAAAACATAATATTTTACCATGGTAGAAGTAAAAGTATCAATGCTTTTACCATAGTTCATGTTCAAAAACATGGTATTACTACAGTAGGAGTAAAAATGCATGATATTATCATAGTACATGCACTAAAATATTGCATTAGCATGGTATTGGGGAAAAACTATGATATTGCAAATAGTTCATGCCAAAAACATGGTATTAATAGTAAAAATATATTAAACAACATGGAATTATCATTGAATGGGTTAAAAAAAAAACATGTTATTACTAATACATGTTCTAATTTTTTTCTTATCGTGGTACAGGGAAAAAAATTATATTACCATAAAAACATGATATTATCATGGTGCAGGCATCAAAAGCATGATATTATCATGATATTAAATGTCAGTGGTAGTTGACAGTACGACAGTGGCTCTATATTGTTTGGGTGTGTTTGCACAGGTGTGTGATTCAGAGGCTCCTGCCGTACACACAGTATGAGGCCTCGAGCACCAGACGAGGAGGAGTGGTGGGAACGCTCCGGAACTGCTGCTTTGACCACGGTACACGGATCAATCATCTGTGGAAACTGGAAAGAGAATGTCATTTCATTTCTGAAACTTCCATCATTGAAAGGAAAGTCAATGCAAAAATGTGTGCATTTATCTGTTTTGTCCTGCAGCCCATCATGAGTGGTTGCTTAGTGATGCGGTGGATATTTTACCGTATCTTTTATTACCATTGGCTGGACCAGAGGAGCTCTCTGAGGAAGAGAATGAAGGTGATGCTCTTTAAATCAGATTCAAGCCTTACAGATCCAAGTACTTCATAATATATTTATATAAATATAATATAAATATATATATAATATATAAATTTATATAAATATAATATATATATATATATATATGTTAGTAATGGCTTAAAGGGATACTCCACTGTTTTTATCTCATATGAACGTCAATCGCACGGTGAAACTTTGCTAGCACTTAGCTTAGCCCAATTCATTCATTAGGCTCCAAGCAGAGAAGCGACCAAACACGAGTAGTGTAACTCTACCAAAAATGGTGACACAAAATACAACGTTTTGCTTTTCTAAGTGTGTGCTCGTGTAACTGTATTTAAATAGTGAAAGCGTGGAGGTGTTTGGTCGCTTCTCTGCTTGGATTTAATGAATGAATTGGGCTAAGCTAAGTGCTAGCAAAGTGTCTCGCGCGCCAGAGCGATTGAGACGAGAGAGGTATGAATCGACTCGTCGTGTTAGTGAATAACAGTTTAATATGAACAACCGGCGGAGAATCCCTCTAAATCTACTTTAACTGCTGTTGCAACACTCTCGCTTGTCCAGTAGATGGCGATATTTAGTCATTTTGATGTTTATCGTATTTTCAACAACATGTGAAAGGAAAAAGGAATGAACTGAGTGGAAATTCTGCCATTACAGCAGGAAGTTGTGAATTTGCTAAGTTAGAATCTTAGTTCAGAGTTTGCGGTTTCATAAAAGTTGTTTGAAATGTTTATATATACCATATTCTCCTCTTAAAGCACCATGCTTTCTGACCAAAATAGCTAATAACCTTCCTAGTTATTAAGTGACCTTATACAACCTTTCTGAAGTGCTCTCATGGTCTGTCTCACTATTAGCCAAAATACTACTTTAATTTGCAGCATGTTTGAGTTATATAATTGGCAAGCATCACTTTTCTTATCAGACAGTGTATTAAAGGTGAAATGTGTCATTTTTGAACCACTATATTAACAGTACAACAATTACACACCCGATTTATTCATATAACTCAGTGTCTGTGTTTACAGGTTTGCCGGTGGACTTGCAGTATCTGCCAGAGGATAAAAAGAGAGAAGAGGATCCTGATATCCGCAAGATGCTCTTAGAAACTCTCATTCTTGTATGAACCACATCTCATATCTATCATTTACCCGTGTTTCAATAATTCACATACACCGCCATTCAAATGTTTGGGGTCAGTAAGATTTCTTAATGTTTTTGAATGTCTCTTCTACTCACCAAAGCAAAATCACAGTACTAAAACACAGTAGTATTCTGAAATATTACTACAATTTAAAATACCTGTTTTCTATGTGAATATATAATCAAATGTGATTTATTCCTATGATCAAAGCTGTATTTTCAGCATCATTACTCCAGTCTTCAGTGTCACACGACCCTTCAGAAATCACTCTAATATTTGATGCTCAAAAAACATTTACGATTGTTATCAATGTTGAAAACAGTTGTTCTGCTTCATATTTTTGTGAAAACCATGATGCATTTGTATTTAGGATTATTAGTTAGTGATAAATATGTTAAGTTTTAAATAACAGCATTATAAGAGTCATAACTGCCACTTTAAATCAATTTAATGCATCATTGCTAAACAAAAGTATATATTTCTTTAAAAGAAAACATACTGACCACAATCTTTTAAACAGTAGTGTATAATCACTGTGTTTTTCCTCTTGTATGCTGGTTAGTCTGTTCTGTAGTTCAGTCTCTTAATGATCTGTTTGTCTTCAGCTCACAGCTACTAGATTGGGCCGACAGATCATGAAGGACAAGAACGTTTATCCCATCATGAGGGAGTTTGACAGATGGGAGAAGGATCCGTTTGTTACTTCAGCCTGTGAGAAACTCGTCCAGGTATTGTAAAGATTACTCTGAAAATATTTAGACAGCATTGCATGTATCCTTTATGAAAAAAAAATTGCTTTTTTCACTAAGCAATCAGCTCAGTGAAAAAAAAAACTCATTAAAAATTGCATACTAATTGCATGTTTTTTGGCTTTTACTATGAATATGTTAACCTTCTGTTGTCTGTAATCTAGTGTACTCCAAAACAATGACAAAATTCACATTTAGAAGATATAAGCATTCAAAACTTACAGTCTCTCACTTCCGCCAATATGGATCAGGGGTTTGATGACATCACTGCTTCTCATCTGATATTCTGTCCAATCAAATGCGCTCTAGAATTTGAAGCTCCGCCCCCTACATTATGAACAGAAGCTGAAGCTGCGTCTGAAATCGGTCACTTTTCACACGTTTACTATTTTCTACATGCTGAATGTTCATAGTGCACTATATAGGGGATAGGGAACGATTCAGACTATGTAAATAATCTCTCCATTGGGGCGAATGAAGTCTGGTTTCACGTTAGTGTCACGCGACGGTCCAGAGACACGA